AAAGTGTTTTAACAAAGGGTTAATATAAAGATTGATAGCCGTTACAATCAGTGGTTAAATATGCAACACCCATTTGATCCTGATGTTCAATCAATAGCATTTTACTTTTTGGAATTTATTATCATTATTCTTACTTTTATTGAATATTTTACTTTAGAGATAAAGTATTTAGATTCATGCACATGTATTAACTAGATTGTTACTTGTCATGTTAAATGAATTTAGTTTTTATAGAGAAGAGTTGCTGTGCTATCCATTTATGAAATTTTTGATTGTAGTGCAATGATGACATGATATTAGTTTTTATAGATTTAAATGATTTATGTTCCCTATTTTGGGCATACGAGAATACGTTTGCTTCGACTAGCTCATTAATTATTCTTTTTCTGAATCAGCCAGCATATGTCTTCCGGATAGTTTGTCGATACAGAAATCACTATCAAATTGGTCGAAAAGACCATCCAGAATTCCCACACAGTGTCCAACATGCTCCAATGCCTTTTCTGAAAAGTTGCTTCCTAAAGTCTCTATTGCCAGCTTACATATTTTGTTGAGATGCTCTAAAAACAAATCACAGGGTACATTCTGTCCTGGTAATCCATGGATATTTATGCACCTAGACCAGATCAATTGGTGGGACTGCCTTTCATTTAAGTAGAAATGGAATTGAGCCAATAGGTTTAGTCCTTTAATGCAGTAGTTCTTTCTTTGTCTTGACCGGAACACAAGCATGAGATAACGCCAACATCTAAGAATCCTATACCCATCCCCTTCACAAATAGCATCTGAACTCCATGTATAACAGACCCTGTGACAATATTTGAACAGCATATGCTTTTACTCCATCTCCTTGAATATCTTCTTCTAGATTATGATGTGCCAATATGTCTACATATTTAAGACATATCTCCTTTGTAACTTGAGCGAGTACCAGTTTCCTATCGTCTTTCAATTTGATCCATAAAGCAACACATGGTCTGGCTTATCTGATGTGGCTTTCATTTTTAACAGATTCATGGCTGCAGAAACAATATGGCATTGTACAACCGTTACAAAAAGTAGTCATCACATGCATTAAAATCATCCGAGGCAGAGGCTGAAATTTTTCTATGGTCAATAAGGTTTCGCAGTTGACATATAGAGTGCCTTTCTCCAAAAAGCTCTTGTTATCATACAGCCACTTCCATATCATCTACAACCATGATAATCATTAAAGGTAATCATCGTTATTACAACTACAACACCTCCAAAAAAATCTTCTTTGCGTGCCAGTCTTTACAAACAGGAATCAGACCTTTTAATTTGGTAGGGACTGTTTTGCCGTGCATCTTTTGCAGTCTCAGCTCGTTTTCTAGTTAACTGGTCCCCTCCAAATAAGATACTGTGTTGAACATCACATGGCACTTCACAACCACTACTTGCATCCACTTTAGTCTTCTTCTCGCATGGCACATATTTATGAAGTTCTAGCATGATATCAATCATGTCTTCAACAACATTTTCATTCTAAAAATGATACCAAGTGGAACCTATCAAAAAAGGATATACATAAATGCATAAATACATGTATAATTATCATACCGTTTCGGACTTCTTAGACATGTTGCTATATTGATGATGCTCAATGTGTTTGAGAACAACATCTGAGAAGGTATGAGAAAAATATAACAATTCTGAAATTAAGACACAGCCAATTAAAGTAGACATGTTACTGATGAGAGCCTGGTCATCTGAGACTGATGGCAATAAATTATCGATGGGCAACTCAGACACAGGCTTTTTGGAATAGAGATTTGGCTCTTCAGATGTTTGAGACAAATCCACCCGATCTCTTACAGCATACGATTGGAAGAA